CAGTCACCCATCAGTGATGGGGACCGGAGGGAAGAACTGGGAGCTGGTAGTGATGATGGCAATGATGGCAATGCAGGTGAGCTGCTCTGTGTCCCCTTCTCCATCATTATTTCCCCCTCGGTCCTCTTGATTCCCTGTCGTCAGCCCTTCTCCCAGTCCTAGGGGCGCATTGACCACCTTCCCACTGAGATCAGACGTTCTCCCAACCCTGTTACCTCCTTCTTGCTCCTGAGATAGCAGCACCATCATGTAAAACAAATCTCAAAACTTGGTCCTCATTTCTTCTGGTCAGCAGGATGGCACCATGCAGGTCCTTTCCAATGCCTGCAGGCTTCCCAACCCTGCTGCCAGATCTACTCCCCATCCTCCTCCTCTCCCAACATCCTGGCTCAACCAACCCCATTTCAACTTACCACAACTCCTGTCATCTCCTTGCAGCTCCCCAAGTGCCAACGGAGACAGGGACCACAGCAAAAGATCACGGGAGGTGAGTGGCAGCGTGCGTGAGTCTTCCCCCACTGTATATCTGGGCTCTCTGGAGCTGAAGGTCAAAGTTGGACCCATCCATCTCATCCCTTGAGTTCCCCAACAGGCGGCCCATGTTCTAACAAAGGCCTTCCATGATTAAAACCTGTTGTGGCAGAGTTGACTTTGATCATTGCATGCCTGCAGCGTACTTGTCCCAGAGGAGAAAGTGGAGCAGGGGGCTGAGCCTCAAGAAGAAGAGGAGGAAGAGGAGGAGGAGGACTTTGCCGAGGATGATGACCTCACCTACACCGATGACCTGCGTGATGAGAACTACCACCCATCTCTGGACAGGTGGGGAGCGCTTAGAGCTGCTGGGAAGGAGCGTGTGGACTGAAACCCGCATCCAGCTGATGTCCTACCACGTCCCACCATCTAAACTGTCTTGCCCATCCCATGTCTGTCTTTTCTCCCAGTGACTCTGAGCCACAGCGACGACAAAGCCAGACCAAAACCCGTAAGAAAACCGTAAAGGAGGAGCAGCCTCCAAATGAGCCAATCCTGACCGGCTCTAGCCCATTGGAGGAGAAGAGTGGACGAGTCAGGTGAGTCACGACGGCCGTGTCAGTGTGGTGAAGGACATTGGGGTGTCTGTTTTGGGGCATGTTGGAGATGCTGCTGCTGCTGCTTTCCGTGCTGAGAAACCAGATGGAAACCATCCAACCCAATAGTAAATGATGTTCAAGCCCTGAGCTCTGGGCAGGACAGGAGCCACATGTCCCCAGGAGGGTTTAATCCTCTTCCTCACGGTGCTGCCGTCTGCAGGGCAGAGCTGCGTTGCCAGGCCTCGTTGGGTGTTGGTCTGGCACGTGGATCTCGCTACGAGGGGCCTCGAGTCGTCATTTCATCCGCTGTGTGGCCGGGGAGCAAGGACATGCTGCTTGGGCAGGGCTTGAAGACCTCTTAAACCACCACTGTGGTGGGCGTTGAAGCCTCCAAGCAGCCTGGAGGTTTGCAGCAGCAGGAAAAAAAATAAATCCATACGTTCCACCCCATGCGTAAGCACAGAGACTCCTGTCCCCACCTATAGATACAGGGGCTCCTCCAGCACCCAGAGCGGCTCTATATAGCCCAGCTATATTGCCCAGCAGCTCAAGCCCATGGGGAGAGGTGAGTAGCAACAGCAGTGCTGCCAACCTCAAGCGTTGGTCAAGGGACAGCTTGAGAACGACCACGATTATTTAATTTGCAAGTGCTCTTCACCTCAGCCTGTTTGGGGCTGAAGGTTGGCTTTTAATCTCTCCTGCCTAGCTGCGTGGGCTGAAAATTCACTTTTCTGTTCTAAATAAGCTCAAATCATCACTCGATTATTCACTGGGTCTTTATGCAAGAGTATTAAATACCGGTTGGTCTCTATGCTGAAACAAGATGGTCTGTGCGTTGCCTCTTGGCTCTGACACACAAGGAGATGTCACCTCGCTGGATTTTTCTTACACTTTTAATACGACAAGGGCGTTAAACCCCCCCCTTTTTCATTGGAGTTAGCCAGAGCGACCACCTAACACCACCTTGTAACGCATCTTGCCTTCGTATATCCTACAAAAAATGGGACCAGCAGCAAAACACACGCCCCAAAACTCACCATGTAAGTATCATGCTGCTCCGTTAAGGCTTTTATTGATCTGCTTTTTCACTTCGACATGGTATCGCCGCTTCTTTTTGGTGCTAAATACCCTTCCCGTCTTCTTGCAGCTCTGAAACCGCCTCACAGCTCGCTGGAAGAGCGAACACGCTCCCGAAGTCCAGTCCCGGCAAAGGAAAACGTGACGGTAAATCTGGCATTTGCTTTTCTCCTCTCCCTGCGCACTGCTGGTCATGTAGCACCAGGGTGACACCGGGCCCTAAAATTCAATTTGAGGGTGGAAGGGTTTGTGTTAGGTCTGGGTAGTCCTTGTTAAGGCAAAAAATGAATTAGAAGAGGGATTTTTTTGGGTCCTGCACGCTTTCCATTCCAAATCCTGGTGTTCAGACCTCCAAAAGTACATCGGTGCCTAAAGATGCACCTGGAGATGGAAGCAGCCGTTGACTTTCCTGGGCAACCAGTGCAGTCTTGGAGCTTTTAACCCCCTCTCCAAAGCCCAGCCTAAACTTTAAGTCAGTGCTGCCCTTTTTAAGGCTCAGCTTGGTTACAGAGCTCCTATTTACAAGCATTGGATTATTTTTTTCCCCTCTTCTTTGTTCGCAGCAACTGGAAGAACAGAGTTAAAAGACTTTTATGAGTGAGAGTGTCCGGACTTCAGTGTGTTCATCCTCTTCTTGCTGCCCAAAGGTAATGCCATCGTGAGCTAATAAAACATTTTTAAAAGATAGTGGATGAAGATGCCCACCTCCTATTTTTATTCGGTGCTGAGGATGCAGTCTGGCATCATCGTCTATTAACGATCTCTTTCTTTCTCCTCCTCACAAAAGTACGCCTGGGTTTTTTTTTTTGTTTTTTTTAACGTATCTTTCTTTAATTTCAGGATGTCAGCCAGAAATAGCTGCTGTTTCCATGGAGCTGCGGATAAATTATAGATCAAATGAGGCTGGTGTGAGGTCGACGGCAATCTTAAATGTCCTGGGATGTATCCAAAACCGTGTGAAAGCCTTTTTGTAACGAGTAATAAAGAATATATTCCTATTTATAATGTCTAAAAGGTGCATTTGTTAACGACATTTCCTGCTCCGATGGGGAGAAATACTGAATTCCCAAAAGGGGAGAAATTAAGAGGATGGTTTTAATGGAGGATTTGCTTGGAAATCCATCAGCTGCGAGGCTGGAGGACCATAGCTTCTCGGCTCTGTGCTTGGGGACAAAGACAAAACCCTCACTCAAGACCCTTCTTTCTGTTGCAGCTGCAAGAGGCGAGCACGGCCGTGCGACGAGGACGTGGCCCAGATCGGCCCAAAAAGAATCAGGTACCCAGGGCTGGTGGGGAAGGGGAAGCTGCCGCGCTGCGCCATTTCCCAGCCCGACAAGGAGGCGCAGCTCAGCCCTTGTGTGGTGGGACACCCTTGGCTTCCTCCTGCAAGGCTTTATTTGCTTAAATTAAGCTTTTGATGGGTGAGGAGGACCTAGCGGGGTGCCAAATCGAAAAGCTACAGCTTTTTCGGGTCTCCTCCCCACTCATCCTCACCAAAGATGGTTTTCTACCTTCTCTTCCACAGGAAGGCGGCGAAACGCGAGATCCTCCTGTGTGACTTTGAAGGCTGCGGCAAGATCTTCTCCAACCGCCAGTACCTGAATGTGAGAGCTGGGAACAACCGTTGTCCTTAAATCCACTTCTCACACCCTGGGAGGTGCAGCCAAGCTGGGCATGAGCACCCGTCCCACTCCCAGGCTCTTCTGGGGCCATCAGAAGCTTTGGTGACCCACCAGATGGGTCAGGGTTTGCCTGTCCAAGCTCCATTTTGGATATCTTGGGTGTCATCCTAGAGCTGGAATCGGGCAACCCGAATTTCCCATGGCTTTCTGAAGCTGGATAATTGATACAGGACTTTTTGGCCCCGCACGTTCAGCAGCCGCTTGGCCTGCCTGAGGTCCCTTGAAGCTCCACCATGCTCTTCAGGGAGCAAAACAGGGGAGGCTATCGCTGGAAGGTGCCCTTGGGCTTCCTCCAAGCGCGGCTTCTCACTGCCGACCTCCTCTCTTCTTACTCCCCCTTTTTTCTCCCCAAAATGGCAGCACCACAAGAAGTACCAGCACGTCCACCAGAAGACCTTCACCTGCTCGGAGCCCAGCTGCGGCAAGTCCTTCAACTTCAAGAAGCACCTCAAGGAGCATGAGAAACTGCACAGTGGTGAGTCGGAGCATGTACTCCCTATAGGGATATATACCTCCCTATACCTCCGCTCCTGGGCTACAGCTGCCCATACCCACATCCTCACCATTCACATTCGCATCCCTGACAGATGTTGCCACACCTGTTTGCTTTCTGCTCCCAAGATCTCATTTATCATCTCCATTTCTGTGCTGGGAAAGCATCCCACCTCCTAAAACACAATCCTGAAAGCTCCCCAACTGCTGGATCACCCCCTAATTCTTTTTTCTTCCGCCCTGCAGACAAGCGGGACTACATCTGCGAGTTCTGTGCCCGTTCCTTTCGTACCAGCAGCAATTTGATCATCCACAGGCGCATCCACACAGGAGAGAAACCCCTGCAGTAAGTACCAGTCCCACTAACACAACTGCCAACTCTCTGCTCCACGTCAGGGTTTCTCCCCATCGCGTTTCAACCCAAATTTAGCTTCTCGGTGCTTGGGTGGGAGAGCCAAGTCCCTCGCCATGTTTAGCCAGAGGACTGGCTGTTATTTTTGCTTTGCCTAAAGGTTTCTGATTGCGCTCTGATCCAGCAGCTTCAGGATCAGCTTCAGGGCATGGGTTTGACTTGGAGAAGCTTAATAAGCTGGGACTTAATGAGAGCAACACAGTTCTTTGCCTGGAGGGTGTGCTGAAGCCACACAGAGCTAACGCAGCTTTGCTAAACCCCCGTAAAACTACAGCATCAAGATGAGGCGGGGCCGGTTCTCTCTCCCTTGTGCTTAATCCCTTGTAATACCTTTTTTAACATTGAATTCCATTCTCTTTTTCTCCCAGGTGCGAGATCTGCGGCTTCACTTGCCGCCAGAAAGCCTCTCTGAACTGGCACATGAAGAAACATGACGCCGACTCCTTCTACCAGTTCTCCTGCAACATCTGCGGCAAGAAGTTCGAGAAGAAAGACAACGTCACTGCCCACAAAAGCAAAAGTCACCCCGAAGCGCCCGGCGCTCCGCCCCAAACTGAAGCGAGCCAACGGCAGACAGTGCCATCCCCACCGCTGAGCTTCAGTGCAGGGATGCAGGCAGGGCTGGAGCACCCGGAGGCACCCGCAGCGTTGGCCGTGGAACCCCTGGAGATGCCGGGGCTTGGGGACACCCTGGGGAGCAGTGGTGAACTGGAGAAGACCCCATCTGCCATTGCAGCCTCGGCTGATTATCGAGGGGGTATCGGAAGGGAGCCAGGCGCACCCCGAGGCCGGGTGATGGATGGTATCGGTTCGTAGCATCCTCCGGTTCTTGGCCAAAGGAGGGACCAGAGAGCAGGATGGAGCAAGGTGAAATGATGCTGCAGCATGTCAAGGTGCCAAAAATCCCATCTTTCCAGGCAAGGACTGGCACTTCCCAGAGGAAATCCCAGCTTCTCCACCAAAACCCGGGCTTCCCTCGAGCTGGCAGCAGTGTTGCCGCAGGCAGAAAACCTCTTGCCTGGCTCCAGCTGCAAGGAGAGAGCGTGAGGTTGCCAAAGTCCTGGGCAGGATCCTGAATAAAGACTTATTTTGTGTAAAAACAAGTTTCCCGACTTGCACCGGCCACCTCTGCACCATGGCACTGAGGTTCTATGAAAAACAGAAGCAGAAAAGTGAGATTTCCACATGCGCGACCTGCCTCACTGCCCAGTCCAAAGGTTTTCTGCATTTAGCACAGCACTGCCCCATATCTAAACCGCACTGTCAGCTTAGAGAAACCAGTAATGAAGGAACTGACTCAAAATTGGGGCTGAGAGGCCTTGGTGAGAACTCCCAGAGCAGGGATAAATGATGGGTTGGTGATGGAGAAGAGATGCTCTGCAATACCCCATCTCAGGGGCATCTGCTTTCCTGGTGCCATTTTATTTCTCAGAGCAGAAATTTGGGGAAATTTCCTGGGTTGGGGGGGAAACAGGCACCCCAATTTCTTCCCAATACAGGGCAGCAGCACCTCTCAACTTGCTCCTTCCCCAAGCACCCATGGTCGGTGCTTGCCTGTGGAAGGGCGACATCCCCTCACTGAGGGACTTCTGCTCACCCCAAAAAAGTATTCTTCACCCCTAAAAAAGAGCTTGATAGTACCAGGTGATGGGCACTGGCAGGGCCATGGGGAGCAACGAGGATTCACCCCCAAAACCAGGGTCCCTCTCCCCAGTTTCTGCCTCTCCAAGGGTTTATTTTAAAGGTTGTACATGTTTCATTCCTTTCCCTTTTCTAGCGGCTCTCAAAGAAAACAGCCATTGCCTCGATTTCTGACTTAAGAATTAAAATGTATCTATATACATGCAAGGAAAAGGTGGGGAGGGTCTTTAACCTCCAAAAGAATGGGCCTTTTTTGGTATTTAAAAGAAGTCAATTTACATTTTAAGATTTAATTTAAAATTGCAGGTAGTCCAAGGCTCCAAGTCAGGGTGATTCTGTGGGGCTCAAGGCTTGGGGCATTTCTTGGCAGTAGCATCACTGCAGGACCAAGCCTGTCCCGAGAGCAGCCGGCACAGAAGAAACAAACATCAGATTGTTGGGGTTTTTTTAGGGTTTTTTTTGTCTTTTTTGCACAGCAACTTTTATTTCCCCACTAAACAGAGTGACAGGGCAAAGAGACATAACAGCATCGCGGGATCACACGAGGGCGGGCAGGGGTTTATAAGCACGCGCGAGATCACACCTAAAACAAGGCTTCCCCCCTCCTTCCCCACGACACGCCTGGGTTTCCACTGGGACCTACCCACACCCATAAAGCCAACCCCAAAAAAACCTGTGATGCCGAGCACACCCGAGACACTCCAGGTTTGTGGCACCTCCATGGTTCTCCCTACAGTTTTTGGGTCGAGGCAAAAACCTCTGTCTCCCCTTTATTTCCCCCGCCTCAATCCCTGGGGCTGCGGCTCCCAGCATTTGGCTCTGCTCTGGCCCCACGGATGCTCAGCATTAACACGGGGTGAGGGGGAAATCATGGGGCTTTTGCTCTCTAGCAGCAGCAAAAGACGGGCTCGGCCCTTTCCCGAGGAAAGGAAAGCGAGGATGGGATGAGGGGGGGAAAGCTAAAAGGTGACCTGCAGAGGAACAGTGTCAGAAATCAGGGGTTGGGTTCAGTACCTCTCCTCCTCACGCAGGTTTTCTAGCCGAGAGCTTCCTGGGGTGCACAAAAGCAGACTGCTTTGGCTACAGATGGGTGCAGGATGCGATAATCCCCTAAGGTAGCTTTTCTCCCTGGTTACATCCCTGTTTACATGGGGCAGCCAACTTCAAAAACAAAAATATATGGGGTTGCTTATACAGCAGGGGGGGGAATAACCCCACAGAGGCTATTTAAGCAGCTGCCCTCAACAGTTGATGCCCCAGAGGAAGGTTTTCAGGGTAAAAAGAGACCCAAAAAAAACTTTTGAATGCAACAAGAAAAAGTTAACCCCAAAGCCAAACAAGGGACAATCATGAGTTTTGGGGTCCTTTGTCTGAAAGCAAGTGGAAAAAAAGGGGACAGGATGGGGCACTACTTGCAGGTCACCTTAGGGAGGGATAAAGAAACTGGACGGATCAATTGCAAAGGGAGAGCGAGGAGCCCACATAGAAGAGCCAGAAGAAAGGAAAGATCTTTTCAGTGAAAGCGGCCGTGAAGGTGAAGATGGGAGCCATGTTATCGGCGTTGTAAAACGCCACCCACCCACCTTCGTAGTCCAGGTACACCCCAATCTTCCTGGGCCTCTCGCACAGGGACAGGGGCGTCTCCGGGGAGGTGAAAGCCTGATACTGATCCCAATTCTTTCCCTTCCAGTTCAACCCCACCGCCCAGATCCCCTCCTCTGGAGCAAAGTCGATTTTCTCCTTCCTCCGCACAGACTCACGGGCCGCCCCCAGGACCCAGCTCTCTCCATCTCCCACCTCTACCTCCCAGTAATGCCTCCCAGCTACAAAACCCTCCGCTGCCAGCACGCAGAAGGAGTAATCGAATCTTTTGGGGTTTGCTGGCAGCTCCTGGGGAGCGCTCCTGAGCCGTACACTCCTCTTGTCCTCCGACAGCACCAGGTAGGGGTTGGCAGTATCCGGGTCCAGAGACAGATCACCTGGGAAGGGGGAAAAGAAAAGCTTTTCAAGCACCCAAAGCACCAAGAGTCACAGAGGAACAAAGATCAGGCTCCGCTTTGTAATTAAAGCGGAGAAACAGCCAGATCTATGCTGCAAACCCACCAGCCTGCCCCATCCGAGACATCTCCTTGCTCTGGAATAGAAATTTCTGGGCAGAAATAACTTAAGTCACTGCCAAGTGCTGGCACAAATATCTTTGTGTTTAAGGGCTGTTCTTTTCCTCAGGGGACAATCAGGAACTAGGGCTGCACAGCCTGAGGACGACTGTGAGAGGGGAACATCAGAGACTGCTAAAGACAGGTCGTATCCTGAACCCAGCCAAGGAGACAGAGCCCACCCACGTCCCTGAACCACCAGCAAAGGCAAAGGTTGCAAAATCCACCTCTGAGCTAACTCAGCACCCACCAGTGGGGCCAAAGGTCTCCGGGTAGAGCAGATCAGCTTCTGCAGAGTCCTCTTAACCCCCCAGTTTCCTAAAAAAATTCAGGACTGCATCTTCATGGACTCTCCCAGCAGCTGGATCCCTTTCCCCCCCCAGCTCCCTTGACAGCACAAGCAATAATTTTCTCCTCTCCTGCCCTCTAAGTCTAGCTTGAAGGTCTTACTGCTGAGACACCCCTGGGGAAGCTGAAACTCTCAAATTAAACCTTGCAAAAATGAAGGTCAGAGTCCCAAACCCAAACCGTGCTCACCTGTGTCATTCTCCAGCTCAAACCGGAGGTTCTCTGAGGGAAGAGAAGAAAGAAATTTAGATCCCTTCATGCATGGGGATCACCTATGCACACAGGACCTTGCTCCCTACTTTACAGCAAGCCACCAAACGCTGCTGCTTGGGAATGACCACCACGTCAAGCTTCCACGCAGAAACCCAAGGGAAAAGTGCTGCTTTTCAAGCAAACAGGGCTTTTTATTTTTGAGGAGCAGATGCTCAAAGAGTAAGAGTTCTCCAAACAAGCCCAAGATAAAAAACAAGAGCATGGCTCAAACCAAGTCATCTTTGAATTAAACGTAGGGGGTTAGGAGGCACCAACTTCTGAAGAAAACCTTTTTCAGCACTCACCCTTGAACTCCAGCAAAACCTCTTTCAGCACTGCACTCTTCTGGGAAAAGCTCTTGAGTTTCTTTTCCAGCTCTGTGAAGCCAGCCTCTGGCTTGCAAAACATCCAGCTCTCAAAGCTGGGGAGAAGAAACAAATATTAAGTTCCCCTCTGGAAAAAAAATAAATAAAATAAAATCTCCAAACTAGAGGCAGGAAAGAAACCTGCTCTGGGACTGAAGAGGGTTGGTGTTAGGTTATTGTCCCTCTGTCAGTGCTTGTGAGGCCACACCTGAGGAGTAGGGCACACAGATGTGGGGGGATCGATCTCCACGCCCTGGCTGGGGCTCAGCCCTGAGCAGCCCGATCCAGTGTTTAATACCAGTCCTGATGGGTCAAATTCAGTCCCTCCCCAACTGAATACTCTGTGGTTTTCTCTGGAAGGACTCTCAAACCCTCCCACAACCCACCTGCCGCAAATCCCCTTCGCAGAGATTTGGTTTGGCAGCACAGGTAACACCCAGGCATGGGCAAGAATCACAAAGCAGGCGAGGAGGAAGCTGGACAGAGCATTTGCCCTTGAACTACGAGCTGAGGCTCCCAGTTAACCCAGCAAGGGCTCCAGTTCACTCACCTGCTTCCAGCTGGGGCAACACCCTGGACAGAGAGAAAAAAAAAACCCCACAAAGAAATTGATCAGTACAAGTGTCTCTTCTATCCTGCAGCCTCTAAAACCCTCCCCAAAACTGGCCCCACAGCTGCTCTGCTGAGGGGATCAGCTCTCAGCAGCTGTTTCCAAAGCAGAGTGCAATTGGACTCACAGAGATGGCAGAATTAGTTTAGAATTATGGGGTTTTATTTCCCCTTTTTCTTTTTTAGCCTGAGTGGGGGGAAAAAAAACATGCTTCTTTTAAAAGAAATTTAAAAAAAAAAAATCATGATTGCCATCAAACTGCCAAAACCATGAGAATTCAGTGTTCACAGTGACAATGGAGTGACACAAACCAAAAACGTCTGGTAGGTTTGTTTGGGTATTTCTTAGTATCAAAGGGGGCCCAAGCAGCTTCACTACCACAAGGGCCAATTTTACCCCCCAAAACTGTGCTAAAATTTGGGTTCCCACCTGAAAAAACCAGCC